TTAATGATTATATAACTTTAAAATTAATTATATAATTTTTGTAATTCAAAATTTACATAATTAAGTTATCTTTTAAATAATTTTTACACTTATAGAATCCTTATAAAAATGATAAAATTGTAATCAATGTTTTAAATTAATTTTTTTATTTTGGCTAAAATTATTGAATTAAATTTACTATAAATTCCAAAGGTACTTTTGTTTGAAAAATTTCATAATTCATTATTAATTCTAACTTTTAAGTATTAACATATTTAATAGATCAAATTATAAAGGATTTATTAAAATAAAATAAACTACAGGAACTTAATTTAAAAATGAATAAACCCATAAGGATTTGCAGATTGATTATTTTTATTTTTTAGAGGAATTAACATAATGTTACAAAAAGATAGCCTGATATATATATATATAAGAGTTAATGAGTAAATAAGATCTTAAATTTTTGCTCGAAAATCATTATAGATCTTAAATTCTTAAAATATATAAAATAAACCCTAAATTTTTAAATTCATAGCAAAATAAATCCTAACTGCTGACTTTTTAATATCATTATTATCCACACAGGTACTGTTCAAGATTTATTTTTCTAAAAATTTAACCTAGATTGTTACAGTACTAGCGTCGATAGTGACGGTGTTAAAAAAGTTAACAGTCATAATTTATTTTGATATGAATTTAGAAATTTAAAATTTATTTTATATATTTTAAAATTTTAAAGTTCAGCATAATTTTCAAGCAAGAGTTTAAGATTTTATTCACTGTATATATTTTCATGAATCATTTATCTGTAGAGTTGATAAACGAGCGGGCCTAACTTATATGGGCCCAACCCTTAGGGGCCTAGGCTCTAAAGCCCATTTACCCTAAGTTTACCTTAAAATTGAAGCTCAGCCCTTATTCAAAGGGCTCAAGGCCGGGCTCATAAGCCCTAATAGGAATAAAATAAAATTCAACATTAAAATTTACTTAGAATATTTTAAAATTCAACATACACCCAACCAAAATCTCACATAATCTAAAAAATAAATAAAAAATTTAAAAGTCTAAATAAGATGAAGGCAAATTCCATCATCAATCCTAATCAAAATTTCCCTCATCATCATCCATAAATAAAATATTAGAACCCTCAGATGTAGGTCCACTTGTGAAAGATGGAGGCGGAGGCTCAATATCAACTATCTTTACAATTTCATCATCGTCACCTACAATAATTAGCAATTAAATTGTGTCATTATCAAATATACATTTATACATATATCACAAGATAAAATATAAAAATTACCACAAAATGGCACAAAAACAACCAACCAATTGCAGGTACAAATCAATGCTTGTACATTATCCGAAAGGAGGTGGCAACGATACTTTGTGAGAACACGGGAACTGATGTTAAATGCCGATTCACTAGCTACTATAGTGATCGAAATACTTAGAACATCACATGCCATCCTTGAAAGATTGGGAAATCATTGTTGATTAGTCTTCCACTAATGCAACACATCTAACTCTGAAAACTGATAACCATCAAGGGAAGCTTCTTTCAAATAATAATCTCATTCAAATTTTCTAATGGAAGAAGTATCCCTACTCTTGAAACTAAGGAAGTCCTGTATATACAAAAAATCTAAGTGTATCAAATAAGAAATTACAATTTATAAGCTAACAACAATGAGATAAAAACTTACACCATAAGCTTGAGTCCAAGACATAATTGGTTCCCTCTTCTTCTCTAACATCCTTCCACTAATGCTTGAGCTTGGTTGACTTTGTGTTGGAGTTGAACTTAGTATAAGATTAATGGAAGATCCACCCATTTCTTTATATTGATTAAACATACAATACAACTTCTGCTTGATATTATCAACTTTCATGAAGTAATTTACAGAATCAATCACTAAGTAAAAATACTTAATCACTTCAAATTTTACTCGTGGATCAAAAACACTTCCAATAGAAAGGATTACACTATAATCACTCTAATACTTGTCAAATTTCTCCTTCATTCTAACTGCCATACTAGAAATCACATGACCACAATTGCTAGTGGCTTCATTCAACAAAATCTTAATTTTTAATATTTGCCTAAAATACATATTTGAGGTAGGATAGGATGTGCCAGAAATTAAAGGTTGTAATAATTGTAAATGGCTGTAAGAAAGTGCACATTTCCTCTGCTCTCCTCCACTCTTCATTTGACAAGCAATGTTTAAAGCTAGTGTCACGACAAGACATGCAAACAAAAGCTCTTTTATACCTTATTTCACTTTTAAGCATATCATAAGTGGAATTCCATCTAGTAGGTACATCTAATTGCAATCCTATTGAGGTGTCAATACCTCCAACTTGCCAAATACATTGCTTGAAAGTCTTCATCCTGGACTCTGACATCTTAACATACTTAATGCTTTCTTGAATTTTATTTATCATAATATTTATTACCTTCAAACCTTCTTGAACTATCAAATTCAAGATATATGCACAACATCACACATGAAAAAATTTCCCATCACAAATCAAGTTGTTTGCAAAACCAACCTCTTTTTCAAGATTTTAGTCATACAATCATTTGCAGATGCATTGTCTAAAGTAATTGTAAAAAAAATTCTTTTCAATCCCCCATTCACGCAAGCACTCAAAAACTTTGCTAGCCAATTCATGTCTAGAATGTGGAGGCTCTATCTTACAAAAAGAGAGTATTCTACTATTAAGTTTTCAATTTTCATCTACAAAATGTGCCGTCAAGCAAATATAACCTTTAGATGTTACAGCAGTCCAACAATCAGAGGTCAAACATATTTTACTATGACTCTTTGACAAAATTAATTTCAACTTCTCTTTCTGTAACTCATAAAATCTCCTAACATCTGACACAGCAGTTTTTCTACTCATAACCTTAACATCAGAATTAATTCCTTAAGCAACTGCCCTAAAAGAGGAAATTTAACAAAAGAATATGGCAAATCATGTTCAATAATCAACATTCCTAACAACTCCCGAATAAGCGGATTATTGATTTGTCTAGGTTTAACATTACCTTCATTATCTAACATCATCAAACCTATGTTATGAAACTTTGGAAGAGTCACACAGTGTTTAATATGTCAACTTAGATGTGAAGTACCATGATTTTCACCACATGCTAATAAAGTGGCACAACCATTACACTTTGCCTTTGTTGCTCCTTTTTTATTAACCACTTTAGAAAAAGATTTCCAAACATTTAAGGTATAACTTTTAGCTTTCTTAGGTGGTTTCATGTTGAATGTAGTAAATTGAGAAGGAGTTGATTCTCTATTACTGTCATCCTCAACTAACTTCTTATTAGTTTTACTACTCTTGGCATTAGATGATGACATACTGCAAACAAGTATAAATCATATAATCAAGAAACTAAGGACAGTTGACAGAGCATTAACTAGGAATCAAAGACAGAGCATTAACAAGGAATTATTACAACATAACCTCCCTAGGCACATTCGAAGTTATGACACATTAATCAGGAATTACAGCATAACCGCCAGGCATATAATTAAGAAACCGAGACAAAGCATTAACCACAAGTGACCGAGACAGAGCATTAACCAACATAATGCAAAATAGAATTTTTTGAAAAAAAATAGTTTGCAGACAGTTCCTGAGTTACATCTAATGGTATGCAGCAAACTAAATAAAGCTATTCTTCCAAGTTGAAATCAAGAATCAGAAGCAGATCTAAATCAAAATCGGTGTTGAAATTGTACAACAGCGTTCAAGAATCAAAATTAAAAGCTAAAATCGAAATAGAGGCAAACCTGAAATGGAAAATGATGAGGGAGGAGACATGGCATCAAAAAGTTCAGACTTCAAATGAGTTGAGCCATACAACTGAGACAGTGAGAATCTGAGAGATGAAAACAGACTTGGACGCTCAATTGAGATGAAACTGAGACAGTGACAATGGCTTGAGGAGGAGAGACTGAGAGAAGAGAGAAATTTGAGATCGAAATTTGAGAATCGAGACTGAAAGAAGGAGAGGGAGTTTGAGGCTCTAAGCTTGCCGGCTAAGTCTGTTGTCTGCGTGAGGCTATGAGGATGAGAGACTGATAGCAATTTTAGACACTCTGAGGGTTTTCAGTTCTGTGCAGTGTGTTTTGAGATAGGTAAGGGAAAAAAATATAAAACGCGCTTTACGCGCCGCCCGAGTCCTTTTTTTATGACTTAAAAGGGCCGAGTTTCAAAGCTCGATTATCTCAAAAAATATCAAATTTTTAAGCCCGAACACTTATTAAAACGGGCTTAAACGAGTAGCCCATCAAACCCAACCCTTATTCTTGATTCTATTTATCTGAAGCGACTCTTAAACGAGTAAGGAACAGTGCTTTTAAAGCACCATGCTTTAAAAGGACGTAGGACTTGTAATTCAATCTCTCAACGAGCAGAGCTTACACATGTAAAAATGCCAATATTCAATATCCTTACTTCCTGTAAGGCCATGATTTGCATGTCAATAACCGTTTTAAACTTTCTAGTTATTTTGGCTCCTCTCTCACTTTATAAATATTCAACTTTTTCTTTTTTTTCTCTTCTTTGGATTAAGAGTATCCTTCATAACAATAATCCATATACTGTAGAAAAGGACTCTAGTACTTAAATATAATTTTAAAATTTTATAATCGTCAATGATTGCTACTGATTTTTGCAAGTAGTTATTTATGATTTTCCCAAATAAATTTGCCTTGTATTTTGAGTTTAGTTGTTTCTAACTTTTTCCCCGAATAATCGTCAAAATATATTGATCAGGAACTTCTTGTTTTTTTTTTTCTTTTTAGGATTTTATTTTTTTCTTATAAAAAAGGTATGTTTTTTAATGCACATGATGTGCACGTGACCCAAAACAGGCAAGATCGGTGCCAGCCAGGTGGTCAAATATGATGAGCATCCGACGACATTAGTCAGATGAAATGATGCGCTTCAGGCAAGACTAGACGCCATCTGTAAAACCCTCCTAACCGCCAAGGCTCTAAGCCTCCGTCGTCTTCCCATACCCGAAGGCATTTATATTAGACCACATTCAGTGATAGTTGATTACAAACTCAGTTGTGCTTTTGTTCCTGATAGAACCATGAGCCAGGAGCAGCCACGTAGATCTGAAGCCGAGAACCAGCAGCAGCCCATCAAATACGGAGACGTTTTCGACGTCTCCGGTGAACTTGCTTCGAATGTTATCACTCCGAGAGACGCGGCTCTGATGCAAGCGACTGAGAATCAAGCATTGGGACAAACCCAGAGAGGAGGACCGGCGTCCGTGATGCAATCAGCGGCTTCGGTGAACAAGAGAGCTGGCCTGGTGAGCCCAGACGACGTCTCAGACGTAGTTCGCAACCAGGGCCTGAGCGTCTCTGAAAAAAAAGTGGGTGCGATTCGCATCATCACGGAGGCGGTAGGCCAAGAGGTGGTGGGACAGTTCGTGGAGCCAGACGTGCCCATGAGAGATCCTGGATTAGCTCTGTACCCAGATGCCATAACCATGGGCGAGGCGCTTGAAGCATCGGCGTTGAGCGAGGCTGGTGATAAGCCTATGGATCAGAGCGACGCCGCTGCAATACAAGCTGCTGAAATGAGAGCCACCGGAAGAAACCAGATAACACCCGGAGGTGTAGCCGCCACTGCCCAGTCGGCTGCCACTCGCAACGCTCGCACCCTGTCTTACGAGCAGAGAACAACTTTGTCTGATGTTTTGACTGTAAATAAAAAAAAAAACTCATATTTGCCTTTTATTTCCCCTGAACCTTGATAATTCTCTCTCACGCCTAAGCTTTTTTGTTTTTTGTTTTTTTAACCTGAAATGTTTATGTGTCTGTGTTTGCAGGAGGCGAAGCAGAAGTTGCCTGCGGATAAACAGGTGACACGAGAAGATGCAGAGGGAGTGATTGGCGCCGAGATTAGAAACAAACCGGATATGAAAACCACCCCCGGTGGTGTCGCAGCCTCAGTGGCGGCGGCAGCGACCCTTAATCAAAACAAATGATGAATGAATTAATGCACTATGTTGGGACGTCCTATGTATGAAATCTTAAGCTTTTTGAGGGTGACGTTTTTGGACTCATTTTGTTCATAAATGTATCGTGTATGATATATGAAGGTCTATATACACGTCTCTCAGTTTTTCTGTGTGTACCTATGTATTTCAGGAAGTTTTATATTAAATTATTTAATTATCTCAGTGAATCTTTCCTCTTCAATGATATATGCAATTAAGGGACACCGTTGGATCCCGAGCATGTTAAGCTTTAAACCGTTGGCGTTAGCGTTAATTAACTGAGAAATAAAAAGGCATAGCCAAGGAATGTCATACTTAATTTAGAATCTCACGCCCGACCGGCATGCTTCAGTATGATCATGGGCTAATAATCAACGGATCATTTAATTGGCTGTAGGAAGGTCTTGGGGATTCATTATATTCAAAGAAAATACCCAACTCGTAGGCAACTTAATGTCACAAAGCTAACTGACTGATGATTGGAGTGTGCACACCTCCTTATATAAGGAGGATCTTCCTCAAATCCCTCTGATAATTGGAGTGTGTAGTATACCTCCTCATATACTTAGGACCTTTCCCAAGTCCCTTCAATATGGGACTTGATAGTTTTTCCAAACCTGTCAATTAAGCAAACTCAAGTTTGACTTTGATATTACTTAGGTTTGACTTTAATACTACTTTATCACGAGCTATTACTCTCTTTTAAAAAACTAGTTCATTGCAAACTAGTTTATTGGAGTGTGGAGTGCACTCTCTCCAAGTCCATCTAACATAGGACCTTATATTAAGCCTAAAATGCCCCTTCAATACAAAATGCATCAACGACGAAGGTCACCCCCATACAGTTAATTGAGCACGATAACGATCCGCGTCTTATGTTGTGCATTGATATTGTAAATGCTGTTTTGATACAGTCGAGTTAAACTGACCAATGATAATTTATTATTTGAATATTAAAACATTATAATTGATGTTGATTTTTTAAGTGTACGATCGTACTATTTATGAAGTGATATATTTTTAGGTTACCACGGGAAAAAATATTTGAAATCGCCAGATTATATATATAATATATTTTATGATGATCCATGGGCATGTTCCATTAATGTTAATGTGAATAAATACAATTCAATTTCACGCCCGCTGGAGCCGATGCATGGCCACTGCAAATCCAGGATAGACACTGAACCACAATGGCAAGGAAGCCATGTAGGTGGTTTTATTCTTTTTGGTCAAACAACTGAATGATATTATATTATTTTGGACATCAATTTTAACAACTGAACCATTTAACTTAGAAATATTTAAAATGGAAACAATTTGCGCGTATATATTTTTTAGTCTGACATGTTGTGGCTTAGAAGTCACACTGTTGTAGAGTTCGCCATTTTGATGCTTAATCAATTATTCTTTGGCCTAAAATATGCCTTTAAAAGAGATACAGTTGGCGAACAACGTACCCATATACAACTCAGCTGATTAATTACATCTGGCACATAAATATAAGGATCCGTCAGACTCCCATCTTCAAATTTATCAAGAATTTATCAATGACTGAATAATTTAAATTGCTACCTTACGGTTACGAACCAAATCTGGTTTTTTTGGGAAAAAAAATTATGGAGATGGGTTGAGGAAGCAAAGGCTTCTTTCATGTATCTCCATGAAGATGAGGACTGAAGATAGCACCGAGCTTGTTCGATCGGCATCTAAAATACTTATATTTATCTAGAGAAACTAGTCAGAATATCCGTATAATTGAAGGATGGAGGTGTTGCCAGGCAGGCACAAGCTGTCAAAATATCTGCATGCGGCTTAACGGTGGAAGATGCGTATTTTCAGGTAGCTTCAGCACTCGCCACCTGCAACTGGCTGATAAGTAATAATATATGGTCACCCCATTTATACAATATCCTTCCCCCACGTGTAACCATGACTTTCGCAGTGTCAAGTGTCAACCCTTCCTCATATCAACCAAGTATAATTGTAAGTACTTATATTTGTGTTTTTCGGTTGAACGCATAGCAGCACAGGCACCCACTTGCATTCACGAACAAACCAAGTCCAGAAGTTAATTAAATTGCCGGTTTTTTGCTTGTAGGTGATCAGTATTATGAGCCAAGAACAGCCACGAAGAGGAGCTGAAGATGACCAAGAGCCCATTAAATATGGAGATGTCTTCGTCAATGTGAAGGGATCAGAATTGGCATCGAAACCCGTAGCACCTAGGGATGCGGCCATCATGCAATCAGCAGAAGCCCAAGTACTGGGCGCAACCCAAAAAGGTGGCCCTGCAGCTCTCATGGAATCCGCCGCCGCAATCAACGAGCGAGTCGGTCTCGTCTCTCACTACGCCGTCACCAACCTGGCCAGAAACCAAGGCGTTACCATCTCTGAAACAAATGAAGGCCGTGGCCGTGTCGTTACCCAAACACTGGGCGGGCAGGTTCAAAACGTTGCCTATTTTATGCCCTCTTCTGCTACATCAACGTCATTGTTTGTTACTGCTTCATAATAACTAGTCATCATTTAATTTGTTGAGAAAGGTGGTGGGGAAGTATATGCAGCCTGTTGACGCTGAGGCAAAGAAGAGGAATAATAATTCAGGGACGGATGATGCTGTGAATGAATCAGCAGGTGATGCTGCTTCGGCATGGATGCAAGCTCCAGGATTCAAAGCAAGTATAGATGATGATTTCATAAGTGAACAAGGAGACGCCACTCTCAATCCTCGCTTGGTGCGCAAGGCTGATGACAATAATTTTGTTCCTTCCGTGAGTAACCCAATTTGTCGTCATCAATTTTACTAGCTTACGATTGCATTCATTGCCTCTGTTCATTTTGCACTTTGGTTGGATAAATGCAGGAAAATGTTATAAGTGGGATACCTGGCGGCATGGGAGCTTCCATGGCTACCGCAGATCAGAGGGTCAAAAAGAATAAATGAGGGTCTGAGTTATAGTTCCGGTGCTCAAGTAATCTAGTTTAAACAAATGCATGCTCATTAATTAGGAGTAGAGATCGATCTTCAATTTGCTCCAGTTTGTTTCTTTTACTTTTTAGTGCGCGCTCTAGATGTTTGTTAACCTTAACCATATGAATGGATGGTAACCCAACCGGATCTGTGATCCAAAAAAAAAAAAAAAAACAGTTCGATTCCCAGTAGTCCTTAACGAGAGCCCAATGAGCCTTTTAATTATTTAAGTCTAAACGGGGGCGTCAATTGGAGGGTTCAATTTCTTTCGCACAATAACATTAGCCCATTATCGTGGACAACAAAACTGGAGAGGAAAGCCCACTATCGTGTACAACAGAACTGGAGAAGAAAGATTAAAATATGCCAAATTAGTGTGTAGCTTGGTTGCCATATCTTAAGACACTAACTTGAAAATTCAACGTCATTGCTCAAAACCATGCAGAAGACGTGGGAATCGTGTCTCCATGTCGTGATGATTTTGTTCCAGATTCAGATTCTAGATCATAGCTAGCAGAAAGCAAGTGCATCGACATCGATAATTATATTATTTCATACTTGTGTTACAGCTCATTCTCGTGTGATATATGATAGTTGACAAGAAAAAAAGGACTGGTGATTCCAAAGATGACCCTGAAATTCTTGGTACAGATCTGAAAGGGGACTTACAGGTTATATAGCTCGTCCCCTATCACTTCCCCGCCACTCAGTACTACTACGTAGGGGCTAGGCAAGACCCCGGTCTTTGATTTGTGAGTCCAGTGGTTAAGCGGTGAGCATGCATCATCAATTGCTCATATTTAAAACCCAACGTAGCTAGAACACGACCAAACCTTAATTAATTAATGTACATGCAATTATCAATTTATCATAATTGTTGGACGCAGCGAAAGGAAAAGAATTCATTGATTATTGACGCCAGAACCCGGTGTATAATGAGCAACCAAAAGAATAGTAAAAGCTTTACAAATGAAACACAAACCTGGGAGTTACCAAATGAAAAGCAAGGACAAATAGTGAGCTGTCACGATAGACGGATTGAGAATTTAACCGGTTCTAGTGAGGAGGGTTGAGAATTTAAACTTGGCTCGTCAGGTGTCTGTAAAATTTGAAAGTGAGTAGGTTTGGGTAATTAAAGAAAAGACAAAAAAAAAATAATTTCATATATCTACTACTCCCTTTTATGCTTATTTTTTAAGATAAAGTTAAAATAATTAATTGTTTTTTATTGCAAAGAAAAGTAAAGTTACAAAATATTTTAAGAAAAGACTTGAATTTATGTCGTCTCAAGGACCCGAGAGAGAGAGAGTATTTTATTGCTTATTCATCAACACTTGATATAATATAACAGAGCTCGTGGCTTGGCGAGAGTGAGAAGACGAGGAGGGTCAAGGAATCGACAATTTTACTTGTAGGCTAACTTTGTTTAACCCGTAAACATGCTTCATTTTAATCGAAAATGTGAACTCAATCCACTAAATTACTGGGCCAAAAGGGAAAGCATTTTAACGACTCTAAAAATGGCAATTAAATTTTCATACTCGAGCATAATTTACTTTACATGTTATCAAATTCAATTAAAAATTTCTGCTCTGGCATATTTGCATTTGAAACATATGGATTTTCAAGGCCAGTAAATTTTTTTTATAATTTCTTTCGGAGAAACTAGGCTCAAACGAATTGAACTAAACCCCAAGTTCTAGGCGCATATAAAAATGAAACGTACGGATGTTTTAAAAATAGTAAACGTAGGAAAAATATTTTGGATGAGATATAGATGGAGCATGGAAATTGGAAGGAGAGTGAATATTGGGGGAAGTGCATAAAGAAGGGAACGGTGAAAGACAGTGGTGCAGGAAATTGCTCAGCTGACGTTGATATGACTCCCTCACTCTGTTCTACAGTACGTTTTGCAGTCTGCTGCATCTCCCCCAAAAAATCCGACTAGCCCCATTTTATTTATAACTTATTTTTAATATATTTTCATATTTTTTTTCAACAATGTTTAATTGGAGTAAAAAAAAAATTTTTGAAGGAAATAAACGAAAGATCTCAAAATCATCAATTAATTTAATTTAAATATTAAGTTTTAATTTTTAAAAATTTACAAATGTAATTTTTAATTTTATAATTTTATTATAATGAATTTATAACTTATAAATTTTAATATAATTGAATGATAAATAAATTTATTTTTTTATTAAAATTTAAAATACAACTTGTAAGTTCATTATAATAAAATTATAAAATTAAAATCAAACTTATAAATTTTTAAAAGTTAACATTTGAGATTTATGTTGAATTAATTAATTTTTTTTTAAGATTGCTTTATCATTCCCCCAAAGTTTTGTAACCAGCAAGCGTTTGGTTCAGTTAACTGGCAAGGGATCATTGTACTTTCTTCACCAGATTTATCGAACATGAATCTTGAAAACGAAGCGGCTTTTGGATTAAACGTGAGGTCTTCAAACAAAGAAATCTTATGATAAAAAATTAATGATATGCTTTGTGTAAAAAAGAAAAATTAACCAATCTCTTTCTTATAAATAGGATGAGAGAGATTATTATTTAATTTCTCACAGCAGTTTCGTTAAAATCTTCAGGGGAATTACTCAAAAATCGAATTCCGTGTGGGTTATATTATATGGCAACCCCCATAATAAAGGATTAGAGTTTGGAAGGCAAAGGAAAGGATAATAGAATGGATGCATTTAAAACTGAAAGTACAATTGTGTGTGGAGCAAGCTCATGCCACGGCCACCCCACCACGTGCTTTGCTGCCATGACTGGACCATCCTTCAAGTTCTACTTCCATCACACCGCACAGTCCTTATTTAAATTTCATGACTCTACTCTGCACACGTCCATTCTTTTTTGGGCATCCCAACTCGGTCCATCACAAAGCCCACCTTCTTCCAAAACCACTTCTTTCTCTCCCTCTACCAATTCGGCTACATGAGACAATGATATCTATTAAAAGCTGGACATGTGGTGGGACCCCCGTTCAGGACAAGTCCTCGTTGTGACATTTTAGGTTAAGCAAATCAATAATTGGAAGACGCATGATCCATCGCTTTCCCATTTGTGATCAGTGCATGAAATGGACCGACGATCACCACCTCTCTCTCTCAATAAATTATAAAATTGCCACTTCTCCCTCGGAATCCTTCTTCATTTCTTTTTATTATTATTATTATACTACTTGTTCAACACTTCCCATGTGCACCTTCCTTCTATTCTAAACAACCATGCCTTCAACCGCAGCTTATAATTAATACTATGTATTGCATCTTATTATCAATGTTTGTCTGTTACTAGGAATTAAGAATCCCGAAAGCAAGCGATCCCCATGCAGGTTCGAGATTTTTTCTCATTCCGAGTTTTCCCATTCTATTATAATATTGTATGCATATAAATATGTGACCTTTTCATAGTACATGCATGTGGCTCTGCTCGTTGGTTTCAACTTTGAAGCAGCAAGCAAATTAGGGAGTGGAGAAAGAGCATGCTGGACACAATAGGAAGAAATCTGAACCAGTGCTTCTCCAAGCTTATGCGGCCATTAATATCACCTGAAGCTTCGTCTTCTTCTTCCGGCAGCACTCATCAAGACGACCCTGCTGTTTCACCCGCTACGACATCGTCTCCTGTGTTTGTTAAAAACTTCAACTCGCTGTATGACTCGGCCTCGGATTTTTCCAACGCCGGCAATGAACCAGACCTGGCTACCGCCTTCGCCTCCCGACGCTTCTTCTTCTCTTCTCCCGGCCGCTCTAACTCCATCGTGGAATCCTCCGCCGCCGCCGGTCAGAACAGGAAAGTCTTCAATAACAGTGTAGCCGTTCCCACCTTCTCGCCGGACCCTTATGTGGACTTCCGACGGTCCATGCAGGAGATGGTGGAGGCGCGTCCGGAGCTGATGGATGTTAACTCCAACTGGGAAATCTTGCACGAGCTTCTCCTCTGCTATCTTGCTCTCAACCCCAAACACACCCACAAGTACATCGTGGGTGCTTTCGCTGATCTTCTCGTCAACCTCATGCCGTCGCCGCCTCCTGACTCCACCGATGGCATCATCACCGACGTCGTGGGTGCCACCTAATTCATACTTTTTACTCAGTTCGTGATTAAGATGGATCTGTCCGAAGAAATTAAAGGTGATAACCTTTCATTCGTTTGTTATCTTCGCATCTATCACTGTCTGTTATTGAATCTCTCTCTCTCTCTCTCTCTCTCTCTCTGTGTCTTTCTAATATCCTTTTGGGTTTTTAAGTTTTCTTTGGGTGAGAGTGTGAGGGTATTATTTTGATTTCAACTCTACCCTCTTCGGCTTCAGGCTTACTAACTTTATAGCCATGTTTAGCTCCTTTTCCTCATATGGCTTGATTGTCATCATGTTGCTACACTTATCTTTTGCAGAATTCAGCATGACGAACTCTTACTTCGTTTTCTTTTTCATGTAAATTGAGTGCTAAGAAGAGAAAATACGAACCCTTTGAGTTCTTATACATTTAGCATTAAAAATGAACTCTGGCTTCTTCTAATTTCTTTAGGTACAAAAAAACTCCAGAATTAACAATGGTTCCAAATCAAAAGGTTCCTTTAATTTTAAAACGAAGGCTTGCAGCAGGGCTTGTGGAGAGTTTAATTACTTGCAAGCATATGCGTTAATCGAAGAGAAAATTCGAAACTATGTACATTCGAATTCCTTCAAAAAGTTGAGCTAATTAAACTGTGTCGACGATTTGCAATCATCAAACTCCTCATATTGGCCATACGTGGGACGGTGAAAATTGCAACTTCTTATGAATAAAGAACTGAAAGATCATATCTTAATTAATTTTTAATTTCGCGAATGGTTGCATGCAGACAAATACCCAGTAAGAGGCCAATGCAGCTGAATAGTCGATTGAATAAGTTCTGGCAAAAGAGTCAGAGTCAGGGATTCCTAATTTTTTTTTCTCACTTGATATATCAAGACCCTCATAAAATACAGCCATTTGATTTTTTTTTTTTTTTGGCCCTATTCAAAGATTCACTCTCCGTATTGAAGCCAGGCCAAGGACAAAAAAGGGTGTCTGTATTGAAGTGGGAAAAGAAGACAAGGGCTTTACCTTTTTTAATAGCATAAGAAATAGGGATGGCTCGTATTCAATTTAATAGTAAAAATTCTTGTAAGCCTCCCCCAAAATTAGTCAATAGTTCAGGCTTAAAAAAGAAGCCGAAGAAGAATATATTTGAAAATAAAAATAATTTCAACTTCGATTAACATTACTCTGGAACTCTGGTAGTTCTTCAAGCAGAGGCGCAGAGCAACGAATGTCTATGTATATACATACACTGGATCCGTATTCGGGTTGTGTGTCTGTAGATGAGTTTATTCAGGCTGATCATGAATGACTCTACTCCTAATTACAAGTTGGTAATTAATTCTATACAATTTAATTTTTTTTATGGGATGAATTAAAAGACAACTACATATTAGTAACACCACGGCCCCTTTTTAAAAAATACAAGGCTACAAAAAATCATGCAAAAAAATGTTCATGTCATATTAAAAAATCATAAAATTTCTATAATCAAAGAAATCATAATTTCTGCATCCATAATGCAGAAGGTGGATCGTAGAAATCATTTAATTTCTGCATCCATAATGCAGAAGGTGGATCGTGAAAAAATCATTGTATCAGGGAACACCCTTGGTTTGAATTGTACAACTGGACACGAGTAAGAAAAATCAGATACAAGTTTGAAGTTTGAATTGTGGAAGCAAACTTGTCTTTTTAAAAAAGGCCTATATAGTATATTCACGGTGGTCGACGGCCGGGCAATTGCTTTTTTCACCCAATTTTATCATCTTTTTTTTTTTTTTTTGTTTGGTATATCTATTCAGTATTCAAAACCAACAGCCCCAACTGATCCGATTGAGCACTGTGGGTCCCTAAAGGGGAGTAGCTCTCCAAAATATCTATTATTCATTCTCATTATCCCACAGATTGAACCCAAAAGCTGATGGCTAAAAAAACTCGGACTTTCCACTATCTGAGCCAGTTTTGTCATTTAGTACCTAGCTTCCATTGTGCTTGTTTCTCCCATCCACAAAGTCGAATTAAAAAAAAAAAAAAAACCTGTACGCACAAAATAAGAATTGATGATCACACTTGTGGGTCAACAACAAAGATTGGTACCCGGGATTTTAAAATTTTGCAGACAACAAGGGCGAAAAATAGAAGCAAGATTAAGGATAACATTAGTGAACTCCATTTACAATTTGCCAAAACCATGGGGAGCAACAAATTACACAAACCTAATTGCGTTTCCCTCATCACTCCCCACAACAAAATTGGAGCTAACCTCCCTTCCCTCCTGACCTGTGTCTAAACCTAAGGTCGCCCTACTCCTCTTAACAATCATACCTCCATCTCCTCCCATACAGGATGCAATCAATTACAAACACAAAATTCAGTTCATATATATAAAACAACCCAGGCCTCACCTCCCCAGGTTGCTTGTCAGTGGGTTATCAATTATTTCCTCGCCAAATGGAACCAAACATTTCAACTGGCTTCGTCGGACACAACTATAACTTCAGTATTACTTTTGCCACACGAAGTACCACCAGCTGACGCACAGTGAAGAGACATGCCGCAACCAGTGTTTGTGTCACCCTGTCCCTGTCCAGTTTGATTGACCTGTAAATCAAGCTCAGATACCTCCGAAGAACGATTTATACCAGGTTTATCATTGAGATCAGAATTCCCCTCTGCTATGCCGACTGCTTCACTTCTCTCATTTACACCATCTGCCATGTCCTCACAGGATCCTGAAGCTATCTGTACTGATTGGCAATCTCCAGAAAGTACGAGACTATGAAGACAGGCTGCTTTAGCAGCACGTGCGTCTGATTTTTCAGCTTTTAGAATCTCGAGATTCACTTCATCAGGGGCACAATGACCTCCGGGTCTCCGCTGAGAACCACAGCCATTGATAGATTCAGAATTGATTTCTTTCGATCCTACTGTCTCGCTGGTAATGTGATGTGGTGGATTATTCAATAAGCCATCACGAGAACCAGATTCAGCAGACGCGTGTCTGTCATTTACTGGGCAAACATCCAACGCAGGGATTCCACTCCCAGCAGAAATGATCAAATCAGACCTAAATGAACTTGGCTCATCACAGTCAGTCGCTTTATCAGCTGTATTTTGATTCTTCTGAAGTTTCGAAACTGCTCCAAATTGCAATTTTACAAAAGCAGGCTCAGATTTTCAGTGATGCAAAAAACGATATAAAGGTGTTTGTGGAAGCCCAGGATACTCAACCATATGAAAGGGACCTATCTACCATGTACCTTCTATAGGGATCAGACCTTTAGCAGCAACTTCAGGCTTCTTTATCTCTTTCATTAACATATCTACATGAGGGAATACCAACAGATTGAAATTCTTTATCATCTGCCTCCTGGTCGCTTCAAGCGGCTCAAACCCAAAAACAGAAGTCCAAGTATCTCTGACTTCAGAGACTGCTGGTATAACCAACGACTCAACATGTAAAGAGCTAAGTGCCTGACCATAATGGCACAGAAACAGAGATTGAAATCAGCAAAATGAAAGGTCATAACCATAAGAAGTACTTTTGTTTATGAGCAGCAGATCTAAATGAAGAAAGCTAGATAACATAAGGTAGCTACCAAATCTTCTAGCCTGCCATTTTTTTTTTTAAAAAAAAAGCCCCTAGGCTCTCCCTCTACCTTGTAGGAACTGAAGCTAAAGGAAACATAAATTGCATTGGTGGACTGACTTCAGCTTTCAAATAGAGAGGTGGGGATTCAACTAAAATTTTCCAAAATAACACTTAAATACTAATCGTGCAAGAAAAATGTAGCAAGGGCAGAGCAGAAGCCAACGAAATTAAGCAGAAAACTTCTAATTTACACAATGACAAGGTAAGGATCAAACTTACAAATGCTAGTTATACAGCCTACACCATACGAGGGAAACACTGCATAAGCCTAATTATGCAAGAGCTAGAAGGCAAAAATCAGGGGTCCACCCTCATCCCAATGCCAAAGACCAGCAAATATTTACTCTGATTCTTGACTTACCAATTCAATGGCACTTAGAAGCCGGCGGCACATTCCTTGGCGCCTATACATATAGCGGGTCCCAATGAATGGCATTTCTGCCAGTTGGTTCCCTCGGATCCTGTTTGACCATTTTATTGAATCAATTATACAGTATAAACTTGTTACTCTCTTCCACAAGCCCAAAGAGAAAATGTTCGCAGAACAGAGTTTCGTAAATGGCACTCGGACAAGGAAGGGGGGGTAATGGCATAAAATACATTCAGTAAAGCAGTACAAGGGATGTTGATCAGAGAGTTGAGATTATACATGCTATGCCATCACATTCAAATAATTTACTTGATCATTAGTGACAGGAAAGAAACCCAATGAAACAGTTAATTAAAATTACAACTAGATAAAGATGAATAAGGCAACTTTATAACAGCAATAGTAGAAAATAGGTAACAAGGTAAAATTTTAATGGTTTGCAAAATGCTCAAACAAGTTACCTTGATGGTAAATAAAAGAGAAGCATTGGTCGATAATTGTACTCTAATCAAATGGCTGCATCTCAATTCTAACAACTGTATCAAAGTTAAAAGGGGTATTTACGTAAAGAAAGTTAGATATGCTAATTAAATTTCCGATGCTTATTAATTTTTTAGTCAAGTTCTCCTGTACTTTTCTTGTCTCTAAAATTGTCTTTTTCATAGTATTTCATAACTGTCTATTCTTTAATTATTATTTTTTTAATAGTATATCTAGTGGAAAATCACGAATAACTTTGCCCCAAACCACTCCACCATAAATTTTAACTCAAGGAGAACACTTTCAATAACAACCGTGAACTTAATGTAATTGAGAACGCAGACAAATCAAACATGTGTTTCCACATCTAAGTTTCAGCACATACATAATTTATATTGAAAGTGAACATATGCAAGAAAGTATTGCACTTTTAATAGTAAAGACAAACTAAGTGTGAATTTTCAAAAAATCAAAACACGTTAAACCTCATTTGACAACACCCATAATGTTATAAGCTCTACATCGGCATCTGACAAGCATACAGCTGGAATCTTTCAAGCCAAGACAGTAAGACATGCATACGTGAAGTAATTTAGTTAAATAGATATCACAATTTTTATATATTTGAATTAAACAATGTTAAAATTTGAAACTGTCAGTTATCAAACGTGTAACAAGGCAAGTAGCATTCATTAGAAAAGCAGGCCCGCTTAACAATCTTTGTACCTCGCAAAGAAGGTATTGGAATAGGAGCCATATATATGAACCAGAAAATTCTGTTAACTACATGACATGATCATGGTTAAGAGTGGATACAACCATCCTAACAGCCCAGCGTAACTAAATCATTCACAATTATGCCAAGAATTCCATCCACTCCAAAACCTGATGAGTATTTATCCATAACACATTTTTTTTTTTTTTGGGTGGGGCGTTGATGGAAACTGAAACAAGAACTAAAAGCATTAAACACAACCATTTATAGATTTGAAATCAGAAAACGTCAATCAATGTAAGAGCCTAAAAAATATAGTTCTTTATCTCTTCTTCATTCTTCTAAATTGTATTAATTACTGACCACTTACAAGCAGCATGAAATCAATCGAAGCTGATCTTAAAGTTAATTACACTTGCCTAATAGATGCTGCGCCGATGACCTCATCACCTCTCTCCAGGATAGCAGTAATGAAACCACTATAGTTCAGGCGATTGAAGTTTGAACTGAAAAAGGACAAATACATATAAATTATAACATAGGATGCAAAAGAAAATACTGATCCATGAAAGAAGGAGTTCCTTAAAAAATGTCCAATTACAACAGCAAAATTTGATGGCTTAGAAGTGAGCGCAAAAACTATGCAAATCATTTGAAGAGCATGTTCACTTCAATTTTACAACAACTGATAGATGTGATGAGATAAAGGACAACAAACATTCAAGTGACCATGAAAGAGGCAACAAATAGGGAAATTTCTAACAGAACTGGATAAGACCAAGTATTTAAATGACCACAGGTTAAAAATGCTAAATTCAGTGGAAATTATCTTGTCATGGATCAAATTGAAAAAACAGCATGGAGATTGGTAAACGTGATTTTTTTGGAGAACTTTGGTCCAACATTTCCTGTCACTGATCCATGACAATGGCTTTAACATTAAAAAATATAGATGTTCTACTGTGCGAACAAATGTACTCACAAATATAATTCAGATAAAAAGTTCAGTACTAAGACAGAATATAAAAGGCACTCAGCATGCCTAAATTAGAGAACTGTGGTATAATTACAAACCTCACAAGAGGATCCTGATGAGTATAGCATTGAACCACAGAGGAAAATTCTTTGAGAGTCCAGGAAAAGAATGCAATACACTTTCAAGAGGAAAGATAGGAAAAATTTAAAATCTATCACATAGTCAGCCTGGGAGTGTGGTCAAAAGGACATAAACAGTAAAGGCCAAGCGAACTTACCCACAATTATAAAGAATACTATGGATGAGATTACTCCCACTTCTATGATCAATATATGGCATGAAGCACTCATCCATTACAGATAATGCCACAGCTAGCTTGGAATTGCATTCGACCATCTGGGATTTTATTTGAGAAGTATCATTGCCAACATCTGACCGGCGAATGAAAGTCCAAGAAAGTCCATCTTCAAGGTCATGTTTAACCCCAAGAAGCATTTCAAGTCTCTTGGATATCTGGCAAAACAAAATAAACAGTATACATTAGTGATTAGTTTCAAATGTGGACAAAAAATTTAGAAAACTAAGCCTTTTTGAGTCAGAAACAAAAAGAATAATCCCTTGCAATGAAATAAAAACTTAGGGCCCCAGTAACTCAGGCACGTATTTTCATTAAATCTCATGTTTAATAGTTATCGAATATAATCCGCAGTAGCAAGCAATGGGTGCAAGATGCATAGGCACTAAACCACTGCCTTCAAAATAATGGCATTGTGTTGATCCTTCACAAGCACATGCCTGATAGGCGCAGCATCTGTAATTCTAAACCCTAGCTCTTGTCTCTTATGGACTCTGGTTTTCAAATTTTCATATCACGAAAATATATAATCACATATAGGCATTTCCTCTACATGGAAAAGGAATTTTGATTACACAAACAAAGTTAAAGTCAAAACACAGTTGTGATATTGACATATTATATAACTTTAAGGAATCAGAAATGAGTGTCAGATTTTAATTGGACTAAATCATAAAGCAAAAGAAGCAAGAAAATCAAGAAACTTATGAATGCTGTTGTGACAAAACATTAATTCCATATTAAAAGATGTGGCATATTATATAACTGCTTTTCTGCTCTAGAAACTTGTCGCAATAATTGCAAATAGAAAGTTTACCACAATTTAAATTACCATGAGTGATACAGAACAACTTGTGGTCAAGTTGCCTTGCAGCCCTGACTAACTAAAATTTACAAGCAGAGATGAAGAACATGAATAAGCATACCTCTTCACATCTGTTTCCACAATAGAATGCAAAAGTAGAGTCATCAGCTGCGACACCATTTACCTCAACACAAGATCTATGATCTGCATGAGATAAAAGTTTACTTCATTTTCAGTAAAAATAGATATTCATATCCAGAAATCAGTATCTAATTAATATCAACATATGCACATGTAAAAAAAAAAAATACATTTTTGATCGCATAAACGGCATGTAAGTAAAGCAGATGTGGTAAAGTCATCATAGCCATCTCTTTCATTTGTACTTCCATCAACCAACTCACAGAATTTGCAACAACAATAAACACAGTGCCAGTTTCCAGGCGGGAACTCCTGCAAGGAAAAACAGATGCTTCATTGTCCAAATGCAGTTTTGTCATAGATACATCTGGATATTATAGACATAACAATGTTTTTTTAGTCAATTCTATCAAACACAATGTGCCCAGAGCTGGGACGGCATAACCATAAGAAGTTTTACACAATAATGACTTGGTATCAGCAAATAACAAGGGATTTTTTTTCTGATAGTAGGCAATCAAACAAAAACACAAATAACTTGCACGGCAGAGGAAGATGGATGGCAACTGGTCATGCATAGGTGATGAAACATACAGCTGCCAAAACAAACTGATCCTAGCCCAACATATTTTAAAAAACACAAAAAATGAGATGACCGATGCAAAATAGGAATTGTGAAAGTTGGCTTTGCCAACACATTGCAGTTTCACAGCCAAGTTGGAAGAATGTCAAGCTATTGATTCCTCAGCGCGACAATAGCAAAAAATGGGAAGGGACTCTTGGGCAAAAGTCCTAATTTCTCCAAGTAAATAATCACAACACAAACTATTATAAAAAATTAATTAAAAGAGTCCATATATTCATGCTAGGAATATACATACTTCAATATTTAGGCAGCTTTGATGGAATGTTGATGGGCAATTATCACAACAGATCAAGTCTCCACCATCTCCACAGACACCACAAGCATCATCATTAGGGTCTTCACTTGTGGTGTCAATAAAATGGAAGCCTTTTCTTTCTTGTTCATCCTGTTTATTCCATGAGTCAAGCAGGCATTGCAGAAGAGAAATTCCTCTCTCTGTATGTATATTTTTGAGTGGATCAGCAGAGAGTGTGTTTCCTGCATGGACTTCAAATTCTGAAATTGTTATAATTTCATTGCAGCATTCACAATGAATTCCATCTCTTGTGATCCTTCCCTCCAGTTTTGCACCTTCCCTTCTGTGGTTCACACAATGAACCTTCTCATTTTGCAGGACTGTACCCAAATCCATCATCCAAGCAAGCACAGTTCGCTTTCCAGTGTAAAGTACATACCCATTTGTTTCTGAATCTATCTCCTCAGCATTGCGAACCATAAAAACACTACGCCTCTTTTTGTGTATTTTCTGCCATTTACGATCCTTGACCAGAATTGGAAACCTTCTATGCGAAAAAACATCTAGACTGTCCTCCTCAACAAATGACATTTTTCTATTCACTTTCCCCTTTGATGACTTATTTGAGCCTCCAAAAGAACCTAATTGTTCTTTCTTCACCTTTTTTTTCTTCAGTTTACCTTTATCTCCCCTTTTCTTTTTGACGACCTTAGTTAGAATATTGAATTCCTCCAATGGTATGGGCACAAATTTGAAACCTGGAATGTATACCTCACCTTCACCATCACCAGCTTCAAAATGCTGCTGAAGCCTTTTGTAGGCCAAGGTAATTGACCAGTGAGTCTTTCCATCTGGACTAACGTACACTGCATCATTATACTCTTTGCCGTTCCTAGGTCTGTAATCAACAACCCAGCCAGCAGCCAAGAGCAGCTCCAAGATGTGTTGCCTCACTGACTGTTTTGCTTTATTCATTCCTTTTTTCTTCTCAATGGGAGGATTCACAGACTTTGATATCAATGGTGAAGTAAATGTACAATTCTTGGTTTTCAAAATACTCCCACATTCATTCTTCCTAACAAAAGAAAATCTCTCCTTTTTTAATTCTTTCACACGAAGTCTCCCTTTCAAGCACATATCACCAACTGCATTCATATGCATATCATCTCTCACAGTTATACTTTTGTTACCTTTTTGAAAGCCTGCCTTTCCTTTTCTGTCTTGTACTACTTCCATCTGATTAATTTTCTGCTCAATTTTGGGAGGCCTTCCACGCTTCCTTTTCAATTTTTTGCCAGGATTTTGATCTTGCCCTTCTGTCTTCATTTTGGGCGGCCTTCCACGCTTCCGTTGCATATTACCAACTAGTTGATCTTGCTCTTCCATCTTTGCTTTGGGTGGCCTTCCACGCTTCTGTTGCATATTACCAACTAGTTGATCTTTCTCTTCCATCTTCACTTTGGGGGGCCTTCCACGCTTCCGTTGCATGTTGCCATGTAATTGGCCTTGCTCTTCAATCTTCAATTTGGGCGGACCACCACATTTCTGTTGCAAAGTACCAACTGATTGATTTTGCTCTTCCATCTTCAATTTAGGGGGCCTGCCACGTTTTCGTTTCAACTCCCTTCTTTCATTGCCATCTATTTTCACATGAACTCCCTCCTTCTCATAACTGCTACTAACAAAATCATCACCTTCTTCTTTTTCTACCTTAACCTTATTTTTCTCAAACCAATCATGTTCATTCTCTCTATGTTTCCCAACCAACACCTCATCAGCTTCTCCACCGTGAAATATCTTTTTGTCTACTGTCTTTGACATTGAGCGCAATACTCGGCCACTAGTCTTCACTTTATCATTTGCATTAAATTTCTTCAACTCCATCTCATCATCAAGCCCTTCAAAGTAACCGTCAGACCTTAAACCATTCCTTTTATAACTAGTCTTAGCCAATCCAACATTTCCACTCTTGCTCACATCCCCATCTAAGTCACGTGGTTGTTGATTGATTGGCTTCACTTCCTCATTCTCAGCTGTGAAGTTTGATGCCTCTCCGTCGGATATTTTACTGACTGCTCTATTTGACATTGAGCGCAATACTCGACCACCAATGTGCACTTTATCATTTAAATAATATTTCTTCTTCACCTCGACCTCAATGTTAACCCCTCCAATGTTACCATCACAGCTTAAACTACTAATTTTGCTCCCATCCTTGACAAACCCCCCATTACCACCCTCACTCATATCCCAATTTAAGTCACATTCTTGTTGCACAATTGGTTCCGCATTCTTATTCTCAACTGTTAAGTTCAGTGCCTCTCGACCATCAGACATCTTGTCTTTTTCCTCCGACACTGAGGACAATGCTCGGCCACCAATCTGCACATGATCGTTCAAATCATCTTTTTTCTTCACCTCCATCCCAATGTCAACTCCTTCAACGATATCATCACAGCTTAAACTACTCCTCTTGTTCCCATTTTCCGCTATCCTAATATTTTCACTGTCATTCGAATCCCTGTCGAAGACCCCTTCTTGTTGTACAACAGGCTTCAATTGATCGTCCTGAATTGTCAAGTTTAATGCCTCTTTTTCATGCGCCAAAACCCCACCCTTCAGAACAGAAACCTCCATCTTTAGGTCATGCCATTTCTTCGGGAATAGACCTTTTTTTTTTGGAAACCTGGTCTATCTATTGCTTCACAAATCGCTTCGGATTTATGAACGCCCGTCTCATTGCTTACAAAACCCTAGTTCCAAATTCCCCTTTCCAATCATTGACTTTCCGTTGACGCACGCAGAGAGCCACGCCCGTAAGACGTCATTTAAAGTCTAACCGAGAGGTTACACGGGTCCGGCGCAGATGACCCTGTCGGGAGGGTACGAGGAGAGTTTCAGCGAGAAATAAAAGGAAAGTAGGGCAGTGAAATTGCAGTTTAAGAACAAGAAAAGGGTGGACAGAAGCAAGAGAAAAGCAAGGAGGAGGAGGATAACGTAAGAGAATGTAGCAAGGTGGGAAATAGGAAGCTTACCAATGTAGGAAGAGCAGGAAATTCTACGATAACGTACGATGAGAGACGGAAAAGACGATCTCGTGGCGTTGGGAAGTTATGGAGAGTGAGAAAGAGAAGCCACAGCCCACAGTAACAGTGCGGAGGAGGCAGACTAAATATTTTTGTTGGAAATGCACGAGCTCAGTGACCGTGGGAGGCTTCTTGTTTTTATTTCATCAATTTATGTATGTATGTATGTATGTTTGTCAGTCATTTGATGATATTTGATTTTTCTCGTTACACTAAGGCGGGATCCTCAAGACAAAAACCAAAACCCGCCTTGTCTAACAATCGCGTCTCTCGATTTTCCCTTCACCTTTTTCGCATTCCTTTTTTTCCGCTTTTCCATTATTCTATATTTTCCCTTTTCGGTGATCGGTGTCATTGAGTTGCAGTGTATGGACTTTACAATCATAAATCATATATTTGTATGAGGGGGAAAAGTGACCCAGATTTTTTTGTTGGGTAACAAAAGTGACCCATATTTCATAGACACGTGTACTACGGTGTCTCTACATTCGTTGGTCTTATCTTTTTTTTTTTTCTTTTTTTCCACACTCAATGTCCTAAAATATTTGGGTATGTTGGATTCATTGCTTTTTGGTCTCCTTATATGTGCTTAATAAAGACTGAAGATTAAAATTTCTATGGGCCATAATCCATAGCTTTTAATGGGCTCGATCCACATACCACTAGCAAGCCCATCAGTCATCGACTACTACCAAGGGTTGGTTTCCAACTGGCATTTGTTAGTATGATATAATGCTAGGAGCCCAAATAATTAAGAAATGAAAAAATTTTATTAAGGACCCCTTGATTGTGGATATTAAAAAAGAAAACTCCAGAAATTTTAATATTTCACTGTAAAGTCGAAGCTTTGATTTGATATTAAATTTCAAAGTTACATGACAATATCGTCCCTCGTTGTAAGGAAAAAGAAAAAGAAAAGCTAAAGTTCAATTAAGGAAAGCAGTGGAGAAGACAGACGAAAGCGCGGAAACGCTCTCTCCTTCTCATTCCCCCCTCTTGCTTCTTTTGAGCACTGGCAAGTTGTTTAACTTTGTCTAACACCTTAATTTTATCCTCCAAAGTGCTTCTACTCACTCCTTTTCTCTTTATAACAAGATTATGAGCCTCGTGAAAGTCATTTGGAATGGTTTCTTGATCTACAAGTAACTTCTTTATAGTTTTTACTCAAGCCATCTTCTTCAAAGGGTTGGACACAGGATTAAATTGAATAAGAGATTTGAGGAATTTACTGAGAGATCAAGTTGAGGGTTTTTGGTTGAGAAAGTATTTATGAGATAATCACGGAGAGAACTTGGTTGGTAAACAGACAATGATTATCAAGTTGAGAGAATATGAGTTTCCTATTGGTAAGATTTCAAGATACGGGTAAAAATAAGACATAGGTACCTCTTTTTTTTAATTACACAGGTATCTCTTATAACATAGAGTCATATCAGAATGTTATGAATTCACTAGTATGAAAAAGCAGCCATTGGAAGTACATTTAAATGAATGGATGAGATTAACAAATCAAGACAAAGAAAACATACCTATCATATCGGTATGTCTCTGATATACCATATGTGAAGTTCATACCAATATGTACTAATTCTATTAGTATGAGTATGGGTTTTTAGATCACCAGGCTTTGTCATATTGATACCAATATGAGTTATTCATATTGGTGTGCACTAGTTCTATCAATATAGGGGAGGGTTTCTATAACAACCTTTATCATACATGTATGTTGTGTTGATGCCGATATGAGTTATTCATACCAGTATGTAGTAGTTTTACTTGTATGAGTTTGGGTTTTACCTAACTTAAAAAATTCTAAGTGACTACTGTGTGTGGTTTGTCACCCCACAGCATCTTATTAATTTTCCTATCTCATTTGTTCATTACAAGTATAGGTTAAGGTTATTGTAACAGCCCCTATCACACTAGCATGTTGTGTTGATACAAATATGAGTTATTCATATCAGCATGTATCAGTTCTATTGGTATGAGTTTGAGTTTCACCTAATGTAAAAAATTCCAAGTGACTTTATCGTCACCCTATTGTGTGCAGTTCACCACCCTATAACATCTTGTTAATTTCTCTATTTTACTTGTTCATTACAAATGTGGGTTTCTATAACAGCCTCTATCATATTAGATGCTGTGTTGATACAAGTATCAGTTATTCATACCAATATGTACTAGTTCTATTAGTATAAGTTTAGGTTTCACCTAACTTAACAAATTCCAAGTGACTTGTTTATCACCTTATCGTGTGTGGTTCATCATCCCATGACATTTTATTAATTTTTTTATTTCACTTGTTCGTTACAACATTGACTTGGAAAAATTTGGTGTTGGTTGGTTTCATATTTGAATGACTTGTTCATCACCTTATTGTATGTGATTTATTGCTTACGAAATGTTGTTAATTTTCCTACATCACTTATTCTCACAACACTTCAAGTTGATATAGAACTACATATTTATAGTTTGTTTTTCCTATTAAATGTAGTCATAAATGAACATAAATGACTAATTCATTCCCATCCAATGACTTATTCATATGTACATAAAAAGAACAATGCCAAGGAATTTCATGACAACAATAACATGCCAGAAGTTATAACATTGACATTGTTAATAATTGAAACAAGTAATTTAGCTTCTCTTTTTCTTGGCATTGTCGCTTGCAAGGAGTTGTAGCACGGCATCGTGTTTGGAGTTCTTCTAGTGGTTCCCATCCCATGGAGTTGCAAAATCCTATGTGAGCTTCTCTTTTCAAGATTGACTCTATATTAACTCATTGCTCTATCCACTTCTTGACTGCTTCTGTATTGGAAAATTTGCCCCATTTAACCAAGGGAAATCTTTACAAAAAAAGCTACACAAAAATAAGTCAAATAATGCAAATAAACAACTGTGGTGAGGGGATCAACACCTAAACATTATGGAATGATCAAAACTTCATATATACCACTAATAAGTACACATAGCAACCAATGTGTCTTATGCCCTTGGGATGACTTGATTTTAATAACTATTAGTACTTCTTTATCTCTTTTCTTAGCTCATCCAACATAAGAGTTGCCTTATCAAATTCATCCCAACTACTGTCAATAAACTCTAATACTTCCACCAGCTCATTACTTATAGATAGACTAGCAATAGGACAAAATAGAGTACCAACAATATAAAGTATGAATAAAGCCATAAATTCGAGTAGGAAATTAATAACACAACTCAAGTAAATCTAACTTTGCTGATTTATAATGACCTACTCAACTGAAATTTTTCCTAACTTTTGAATAGGATTTCTAACAAGAGATGTAATATCCCAATTTAAATTTTAATAGTTAATTTGGGTTAATAAAAATTTTGAAGAATATTTAGAAGTAAGTAAATTAGTAGGAGGTGATTATTAGATCTAATTGAGGATATAATTCTAAGTTAAGATTTTAAAGATTATTATTATTATTATTATTATTATTATTATTAGGAGGAGGAGGAAAGAGAGATTGAGAAATGAAATGCAAACATGTGTGTGTGTGTGTAGGAATTAATAAAAAAAATAAAAAATGGGGAGGTGGAATGTTTTGCTCACACAGTGTAATGTACACACACACACACACACACACACACATATATATACATACACTAATAAATTAAAAAAAAAGAAAGGAGCGGACGTGGTGTGATGTACATACATACATACATACATACATACATACATATATATATATATATATATATATTAAAAAAAGGGAAAGGAAAGCAAAATGGGTTGGGACCCATCCTTTTTTAAAAAAAAAACCCACGCACACCCTTCTCTTCTCATTTTTCCTTCATTTCTTTCTCTTTCATGTGCGAATAGAGGGAGCGTTTGTGAGCATGAGTTTGCCGGTGCTAGGGAGCTGCGTTTTTAAGATGAAATTTCCTACTAGGATATTTAGGATGAGATTTCAAGCTTTTCAAGACTAAATAAGTGTTCTAAAATTTTTTTTAGCCATCCTTCTTCTTTGGTTTCAGATTTTGTGGTGATAGAAAATTTAAGATTTGAAAGAAGGATGAATTTATGTTGAATAAATGTGATTGTTGAGATTGTTAGTGGTATAATAAATGTTCTAGAGTATAAATTTATTGATGAACTTGAAATTTGAGGCTTATGGATCAAACCCTAGGCTAGATTTTTATTAAATTCAAAAAATATATGTTGATTTATTAAGATTTAGATGATTATTTAGGATGAGAAATGGATTATTATGGCTATAAGATGATGATTCTAAGCTTGAGACTCAATTTCTAATTTTTGAGTATTTTAAGTGCGAATTTATGAGATAAAAAGGAATATTTTGATAATAGAAATTAGTTTCTAGGTTGATTTTAGCTTATTAATATTTATTTATGACTAAAAAAGGAGTTAAAAATTTTACTTAATAATACTAACTTTAGATTTGTATTAAGATTGAGATTAAAAATTATGTTATATTCTCTAATCGTATCATTAAAGTTATTTTATTAGTTTCAATAATTGAAACTAATATTTATAAATAATATGTTATTTGTAGATTGTGTTGTTAGTGAAGATTGTGGTGGGAGAGAAATTGTAAGGAATAATTTATTAAAAAAGCCATAAGGTAGCCATGCTTTTAATTTGTAATTAGTGTTGCTTCATGTTAATTGGGTGATTATTGAGAAAATTATGAAGTGTTGTTGAGAAATTACCTTGTTATGTTTATGGACAAATTGTGAAATTGTGGATATGCATTTTGAAGTATTTTTGCCAAGTGAGATGTTATATTGTAATATTATTGAAAATGAGAAAAATTATAATATTGTATAATTGTACAATATTATTATGAATTTGTTTGGCTATTGTGGGAGGTGTTGGGACACTTGTTGTTGTTGTATTTATATGCCATATGGTACGCTCCTATTGGAGCCCAATAGGTGGCTTGTAAGGGCTCGGGCTAATCTATTTTAGCCGAGTAATTTAGCACCGAGTGAGGGCTACGGCTTGAGGTTAATGGAGGGAGATAAGGATAGTTGTTTGTTATGCATTGTAATATTTCTTGTATTTTGTTTGAATTATATTATTGTTGTTTCCCCAATTAGCAAGCACACATTTAACTGTTTGTATATACTATTATAAATTGACATTGATTATTGGGA